CGCTCTCTCTCTCTCTCTCTCTCTCTCTCTCAATTTAATACTCTGTATCGCGGCGTATATTACAATACATTGCATTTCATCCTTAGATTCGTTTCCATTTCGGCTCTGAGCGAGCGAATCGGATCCGTGAAATGCTTGCTCGTTGATCTCTGTGTTTGATCCGAGGCTTGCCAAGATGATGATCTTTAGCCCCGTCACTGTTGGCCAGGTACTCAATTTCTCAGCTTCCAGTGTTTTCTTTCAGATCTTGCTCGGATTTGAGTGTGCGCTTTTGAATTGATGTAGTTTTGTCGGTGATTTTTGTTCAAGGATAACTAAGGATTTTACTTCCATGCATTGCAGGTTTCGTTTTTGCTTGGAGTTATACCTCTCATCGCAGCTTGGATTTATTCTGAGTTCTTGGAGTACAAGAAGAATTCACTCTCTTCAAAATTGTGGGTTCAAAACTTTTTGCCCTATAGCTCAATTGCTTATTGTATTATTATGCATATAACCATTCAAAACAAATACAAATATATATATATATTTAGAACTACATTGTATGTGTATGTGTAAGTATATATGTATGTAACTGATCGAATAAGCGTTTTGTGTTTGTGCTGAGTAAGATTGGTTTTTGACACTAGTAGGTACTCTGAAGTGAATTTGGTTGAAGTGGAAAAAGAGGCGGTTAAAGAGGATGACAGAGCTGTTTTATTAGAGGGCGGAGGTCTCCAATCCGCCTCACCAAAAGCTCGAACTTCATCTGCCTGGTCGCCTATATTCAGGTTTCTAAATTACGGTCATTGCACTCTAAGTTTTCAATTTAAAATGCTCATACCATGTGCTTATGATTATTGTATCGGTTTAGGTTCATTTTGATGGATGAGACCTTCTTGCTTGAAAACCGGTTGACGCTTAGAGCAATGTAAGTCAATTTATTAATGGATCAAATCAAGGAGTATTCTTTACTGCTGTATTGGAATGTTGACCTCTGCCTTTTTTTCTCTCTTGTCTACAGATCTGAATTTAGCGTCCTTTTAGCATACTTCTACTTATGTGATCGTACAGATTTCTTCAACACATCAACTAAGGTGACATTGGTACAGATTTCTTCAACACATCAACTAAGGTGACATTGATAACATAGTCGTTTGTATGTTAAGCATTTCAGTCTTCCTTCTCGGCATTGCTTGGTTTTCAATAAAGCAATGTCTCTAAACAAATATTTGATTACAAACACTAATTTAAATTGTAGAAAGAAAAAAAAGCACTAGTGAAATTCATCTATGTTCTCCATTTTGCCATTTGTTTTTAAAATATCTCTTTGTGACGTGCCTTATATATTTGAATGTCATCTGTTTGTGCAGAGTTACAACCGGGATCTTTTCATATTTCTTTACTTCCTTCTCATCATAGTTTCGGCAATGGCTTCTTTCACGATACATAATGAGAAGTCTCCATTAACTGGGAAATCCATTCTTTATCTAAATAGGCATCAAACTGAGGAGTGGAAAGGCTGGATGCAGGTTGTTCAATTTGATTTCATTTATGACGTATGCTTGTTGATTATGCTTATATGTTGGTCATTTGATTTTGGCACCCATGTTCAACATAAAAACCATTAGTTCTTGGTGTATGTTAATCAAATCATATGCTTCTGTCATCTACAATACTACAAGGCATCTGGTTTTCCATGTCTAACTTTGTCATTTCCAGCACAAAAAGTTCATCAGTATTAGAGTGCGTGGAGGATTTCTATAATTATGTATCCATGTTAGTCTTGTCATCATTGAGATCTTACTCTTTGTTCCTCTATGTTACAGGTGTTATTTTTGTTGTACCACTATTTTGCTGCAACAGAAATTTATAATGCAATCCGAGTATTTATTGCTGCATATGTCTGGATGACTGGATTTGGAAACTTTTCTTATTATTATGTTCGCAAAGATTTCAGCCTAGCAAGGTTTGCACAGGTATGCAGTTCCCTAGATCTATAAGATTGTGTGGGTGAGTTTGTCACATTTAGCGTATATCTAACACATTTCATTCCTTGTTGTTGAGCAGATGATGTGGCGGCTTAATTTCTTGGTATTGTTTTGCTGTGTTGTCCTTAACAACAGTTACGTGCTATACTACATCTGCCCCATGCACACTCTGTTCACGCTTATGGTTTATGGGGCACTCGGTATTATGAGCAAGCATAATGAGATTGGGTCAGTGATAGGTGTAAAAATCATTGGTTGTTTCTTGGTTGTTATCTTGGTATGGGAAATACCTGGAGTGTTTGAATTGCTTTGGAGCCCACTCACATTCCTTCTTGGTAAGTAACTGGTCGAGCATTAATTTCCATGTAAAGACATTGCACATCACTGACCCGAATTCCTAATAAAATTGCAGGCTACACAGATCCTGCGAAACCAGGTTTACCCCTCTTGCATGAATGGCATTTCCGCTCGGGCCTTGATCGATACATATGGATAATTGGAATGATATATGCTTACTATCATCCAACTGTAAGACTCGATAAAAATCCTGTTCAATTTTCCCTATTTTCTGATCTAATTTTATCTTTCGTGTAAACTTTTGTATTTGACTGGTGTGTTCGATATGGATCTGTTTGGTTTGTCATTCCTATGATTCAGTAGCTAATCAATTGGCGTGAGTCTTTATAGGTTGAAAGGTGGATGGAGAAACTGGAGGAAGCAGAATGGAAGCGTAAAATGTCAATCAAAACAGCTGTTACACTGATAACCGTAACGGTATTATAATTTCTCATAATCACGAAAATTCTGCTTCTTAAACATTCATCTCTGATGCAATCTCTGAATTTCTAGGTGGGATATCTGTGGTTTGAGTATATATACAAGATGGACAAGCTTACTTACAATAAATATCATCCGTATACCTCATGGATTCCTATAACGTATGGTATCTTGCCCTGAGTATTTTAACATTTTTGACTGCCCCTAATTTTTTTTTATTTGCTAATATAGCATCTTGTTCTTGCTGATCAGGGTCTACATAAGTTTGCGCAATGTCACGCAGCAATTCCGCAGCTACTCTTTGACCCTTTTTGCGTGAGTGTTTCATCTTGCGATCTCTCTGATTTTAATCTGTTTATTCTCATACATTAGAGTCATAGCATTTGCTGAGACACCATTAGGTGTAATTCTTAAAGATTATGGTAGCTGTATCTTTTTTGTTTTCAGTAAAAAATTACACCATTATAAAGAGGCTTGTGATCTTTAAAACTTCTGGTTTTTTTTTATCCCTAACATTGTCTTTGGTTTACCAGATGGCTTGGAAAGATAACACTGGAGACCTACATCTTGCAATTCCACGTCTGGTTAAGGTATGCTGAAGCTTTACTTTGTGCTCCTGTTATTTGCTAAAGATAGTCCACAAGTGTTTACTAATGTTAGCAAAAAGGAAAAATTGTCATAAATTCCCTGAGAATCTTAGGTAATTTTAAATATCCCCTCTCAACTTCTATTTTGATCAATTCCCCCCACACCAAAGAAACACAAAGAAGGTGGAGCAGTAGTTCCTTCTGTTAGTCTATAGTAAAAAAGGGATCAATATCTTAAATGAGAAATGAAATTTTCTTGATGAGTCACTGAGAATTGGTCAAACTTCAGTTTCTCTTTTAATTTTTGGTTTTAATGGAAGGTCGCATGGTATACATGTTTATGCCTACATTACCTACGTTTCTTATTCTGTCTTGCATGAAAACTTGCAGATCAGGTGTCCCTGATGCTCAGCCTAAGTTGTTGCTCTCTATGATCCCAGAATACCCGCTATTGAACTTCATGCTCACTTCTGCCATTTACGTTGCAGTAAGTAAAGGATGTTATATGCTGTAATCTGAAAATATCTGGCCTTTCTTTTTCATGCTTTAATTTTTGCTTGCTTGCTTGCAGATCTCTTACAGGCTTTTTGACCTGACAAATACGTTGAAAATAGCATTTGTACCCAGTAAAGATAACAAGCGCCTTGCCAACAACATAATTACAGCGACAGCAATATCGTGTGGATTATACTTCATCTCTTTTGTCTTCCTAAAAATCCCCCAAATGCTGGTAAGGTTTACTCCTCTGAATTGGTTAATCAAGTCTCAGTCCATTTCACGCTGTCCAAAATGAGTATGAGTGCAAATCATTCCTTGGCCTTAAAAGCTGAAAACCCACTCATGGAAATGCATGTACCAACCTCCATCCTAATGTTCGATATCACATTTCTTTAAATAGAAAGTGGGATGGTGGGATATGTACACTGGTTTTCATCAGGAAGTTCGAGTGCCAAGGAATGACGGCCCTACGTAAAGTTGAAATTTTGTTCCTTCAAAAATTTAACTTGAACACTACATTGGAAATTTAAAGTTGAAAGTTTTAATATGGCTTCTCATCTCACTCTGGAATTTGGTTGATACTTGAAAAAACTCCACAGGTGTGATAATTCAAATATGAAAAAAAGATATAGTACACAAGGCCACTTGCTTGTAAAAGTCATTCGTGAACATGGGAGAATACCGTACCACTGCAAGAGTTCTTTGCCTCCGTAACCCATTGGAGATACGGATTCATCTGCTGCTGCTGATCGGCGGGGTTATTAATGGAAATGCAGATCATTGTATTAGTTTTTTTTGGTTCTCAGCAATGAGCATTGTATTAGCATTAGATTTTGGGACATAAATTGTATAGGGAAGGGTGGGTAATTAGTTTGACCTCCAACCAGGGGGATACCTTTGCCATACTTATACTCGACTTTTGCTACCATTATAGTAAAATGATCCAAGAGTTTGTCAAACATCTCATACTTCCCTTTTGGTCTTTCCGTTTTCAAAATAATTAGTCCTAAAGAATTTTACCCAAAAAAGAGGAGAAATTAGTCACTTCTGTTTGGATGGGCTCTCTGACCCATGAAATATCAATTCTACGGCATCTACATAGGAAGGAACTCAACTGTCTCAATATATAAAATTTCATTTCTTTACCTTTATCTAACATTTGAATTGGTTGGAAGAAAACTATTGTGATTACAGTCCAACGAACAAAGCAGCTTTCATAAAACAAATGACCTAAAACAAAAAGTTCTGCAGGTAAGTCAATATGCCTAAGCATGCTAGCCTTTTAGCTAAAGTGTTTTCACGGGGAAAAATAGAGGTGGACAATGCCCGCAATTACATTCGTTTAATACAAATAACTTGGCCATCTCCAAAGCAGCAGCGGATTCACTTCATTCTTGATATGGTAAATAGTTAGCAGCAACGCAGGGTTCCTTTGGTTCGAGATGTTGCAGATAACTCCTCAGAATATATGCACAATGTCATAAGCAAATCTTTTTATGTCAAGGAAAACAAGGAAACATCAGAGACATAGGAATTAGCTAAAATGCATGTTTTCAGATTTTCACAGAAATTCAGCCTAACATGATTTTGCGAAATACCAATGCTCTTGGAGGCACCATGGTCATGCCATAAGAGTTGTCATGGCAAAAAAGTACTACTTTTCACATATTTATCCCAAAATTTGAGAACTGTATGGCATGATCTGGCTGCTCCAAAAACAACTGATTTCCACCTAGGTTGTATATTATGATGTTGCTGGCAAAAGAGCTTTCCTTATCCAACAACATCAATTGAGTACCATAAATCGGTCACACACATACACACATATTGTCATTATTAAGTATGATCTCATTTGTTTAAAGGATACGTCCAGAACAGCACAAATGACTGCAAAATGAAAAGAAAACAGTTGTTAGTCAAAGGTAAAAGAGAAGAAGGAAATCAAGAAGATGAAGGTATTGATAATGTTAGATGTGTCATCACAAATTTTACATTAGTTTAATAACTATATTAGATATAGCAGCAATGACAACTATTTTAAAGTGTAGCCTATCAACGAGAACTGTTACATAAAAGAGAGTGTACCAAAAGCCCACCGAGAAAGCCATCAAGTATAATCTGGTTCCAGCTATCAAAATATGAATGAACTGTAAACCCTGCCTTGGCAATGAGTCCAACTGAAGTGACAGCCATAACAAGAAAATAAAAGATAAAACCAGTAAGGCCTGTGAATCCCAAAATTCCAGCAATGACCCCACCGATGATAGACATAAACGTTCGGCTGCACAAGGGGAAATACAGAATTTTTTAGTATTGACACGGAAAGTTGTAAGAATGGATTAGCTAGCATGACAAAGTTTGAAGTTATCAAATTCTTTGGAGTGAGATCTTCCCGCATGTTATTATGATGAATCAAAAAGGTTTATTTTGTTTCACTAGCCTGATATCATATAGTAATCAACATGAGCAATATCTGGAACCACGATCCCTCCCAACATTTAACAAGACATTTCATCATCAATTACTGGAGAAAACTGAACAAACTATAAGAGCTAAAATCTAAAAAAAAATCCTTGTTTTATTGCCTTCCCTCCTCCTAAGATCGACATAGAAACCAACCTTTTGAGGCTTGACAAGTCAATGTAAAGAACATATGGGGACAGAGAATAGATTCATGGCCTACAAAGTTATCAAAGCAAACCTGTAATATATAACTTTCAAGTTACTTTGCAAATTCTCAGCATTGAGGGTTGGCACAACATTTGCAGCCTCACTCAGTTTCTTCTCAGATGCACTTGAGTCATTATGTCCACCCATACCTTCTGCTTTCTGTGCGCTGACAAATAATTTCTGAAGAAAAAAGACAAAATAAAAACCATCTCTTAGTTTGGTACAAACCATCAGTGAATAACTAATACAAGTTCATAGAGCACCTAGTCCGCGAAAATGTAAATCATAGCGTAAGAGTGAACAAAAAAAATAGGAATTGGAAAAAGTGAAACTACCGAGGAAGCAAATATACACAAAAATGTCAGAACACAATGGGTGGAACTCCTAGGTACTTCCTAAATTCACAGGCATGGTAAATCTGAAACTCCACCGCCGGAGGAGAAAAACTAGAGAGAACAAGGGTCAAATAGTTTGCTTTAAGTTTTGCAAACACATAGAAGACTCTTTAATCGGTTTAAGATGAATTAAATTATCAAGATTTCAACATATAAACCTCACTTAACGAGCTAAAACCAGTCATGAATATTGGCGATCCTGGCGCCTTAAGTCCATATTAGACCTTTGATATCTCTCATTTAGCACATCAGCACCAGTTGAACTGGGTTATCTTTTTTCTTCTTCTAGGAACTAGATCTAACACCAAGAAAATTATACAGAAACAGAGATAGAATCACACAAAAATCATCCAATGTTTACAATGAATTCTTGGGGAAAAAAAATTAAAACCCACGTCCCAATAAAGAAAAATTAAAACACAGAATATGGTTCCGCATGTTCCAGATTCAGTTCATATAGAATAGATAACAAACGGTAAGATCTGTTATTTGGGAACTGAAGACAACATAACATCAAATTTGTCAAAAACATAAACAACCAAAATGGAAAACAGAATTCAGGAAATTAAGATTGCCAGAGATGGATGTACGTACACTGAGGAGCGATCGGAGGCCTGCTCTTCCACTCTGCTGCTGAATGAGCTTTGTCTTTGTCTAGGGTGTACTCGGTTAATTTTAGGGTTCGTTTAGCAGCATGTATATTTACATCCATTTTTACATCCCTTGCAGGCGGGACCTACCCAAAAAAAGAGAAGAAAAATGAAGAAAAGTCAACATAAAAGGCTGGGACCCACGGCTACTCCCCTGAATTTACACCCCCACTGGAGAAAAAACATATTTACACCCCCGGAAGTGTAAAGGGAATGTAAAAGTGGCTTTACACCCCCAAATTTATACCCCCACTGTGGATGCTCTAAGAAACCTTCAAAATTTCGAACTTTCATTATTTGCACACTCAAAATTTGATCTTTTTTTTTTGTTCTTCCTTTGGTCACCATTTTCGAATTCATAAACTTTGTGTTAGCTGGGGTTTGGGGGTTTTTTTTATTTGATTAGCTGAATTTGAGCTTGTCCTTATCATGTATTTGAAAGAAGGATGCTCCCTGCTGCTAAAAGTTCACAAACCATCAAGACCATTTGTGCTCAACACAAACCCAATTCTCAATTCAAACCCTAAACCCCAAATGGAACCCAGCCAAGCCTTTCTTAAAGAGTATGATGTGTTGCAGAGGTTAAGACACGAGCACCACATAGCGTCGGCATTAGAATACTTCAGGTCCATTTCCAATTCAAGAGCTTTCAAGCACACCCAATTAACGTACGAGGCCATGATTGTGAAGCTTGGGAGCCAATGTGAAATGGATGGTGTGCAGTACCTATTGAACCAAATGAAATTGGAGGGAATTGGCTGCGCTGAGGAGTTGTTCATAAGTGTGATAAACTCTTATAGGCGAGCTGGGTTGGCTGAGCAGGCCTTGAAAATGTTCTATAGGATAAGAGAATTTGGGTGCAAACCAACGGTCAAGATTTACAATCACCTCTTGGATGCATTGCTTAGTGAGAATAGGTTTCAGATGATTAATCCGATATATAGTAATATGAAGAAAGATGGGATGGAGCCAAATGTGTATACATATAACATTCTTTTGAAGGCTTTGTGTAAAAATGATAGAGTGGATGGTGCTCACAAGTTGCTTGTTGAAATGTCGAAGAAGGGATGTTCTCCAGACACGGTGAGCTATACGACCGTAGTGTCTGCTTTGTGTAGAGTTGGAAAGGTAAAAGAAGCCAGGGAGCTTGCTGTTAGGTTTGATCCCATTGTGCCTGTTTATAACGCTGTGATAAATGGGGTATGCAAAGAGAGCAAAATTGAGGAGGCTTTGGAATTGTTGGTTGAAATGGTGGATAAAGGAATAGACCCTAATGTTATCACATACTCCACGATTATTAATTCTCTTTCTGATATGAGGAACGTTGAGTCTGCTCTTGCAGTTTTGGCTCAACTGTTTGTGAGAGGATGTAGTCCTAATATTCACACCTTTACTTCCTTGATAAAGGGTTATTTTCTAGAAGGGAGAGTCCATGAAGCTCTTGGCTTGTGGAAACGCATAATTCGTGAGGGATTTGTGCCCAATATTATTGCATTTACTAGTCTGATACATGGTCTCTGCTCTAATGGGAAAATGGGTGATGCTGTATCTGTTTTACATGAGATGGAGAGAAATGGCTGCCCTCCAAATGTGACCACATATAGCACTCTTATTGATGGCTTTGCGAAAGCTGGTAACCTTGTTGGTGCATCTGAGACTTGGAACAATATGATGAACCATGGTTGCCGTCCTAATGTTATAGCATATACCTGCATGGTGGATGCTCTTTGTAGGAATTATATGTTTCATCAAGCTCAATGTCTTGTGGAAAATATGACAGCTGAAGGTTGTCCTCCAAATACAGTTACATTTAACACATTTATCAAAGGGTTATGTGGCGATGGAAAGGTAGATTGGGCTGTCAAGATGCTTGAGAAGATGGAGAAGCATGGGTGTTTTCCTAACATTACAACATATAATGAGCTATTGGATGGTCTCATCAAGGTGAACAGATTCGAAGAAGCATTTGGACATGTTAGGGAGATACAGGAAAGAGGGATGGAACTGAATTTGGTAACTTACAATACCATTTTGAATGGTTTTTGTCAAGCTGGAATGACCAAGGACGGTATGCAGCTTTTCGGCAAAATGCTGGTAGAGGGAACAAAGCCTGATGCCATCACATATAACATAATTATACATGCCTATTGTAAGCAAGGTAGGATAAGCACTGCTACTCAGATTTTCAACAGTATTGGTGCGGCAAAGGAGTGGCAGCCAGATGTAATAACTTATACCAGTCTTCTGTCTGGGATTTGTAATTTGATAGGTTTAGATGAAGCCATGGTTTATCTTCATAAGATGATAAGGGAAGGGATCTGCCCCAACATTGGCACATGGAATGTGTTAGTGCGGTGTTTCTTTAGCAGTTTAGGTCAGTTGGAGCCCATCTACATACTGGACAATATACTTCGAAATGGACAAGAAACATGAGCTTGATGTTAATATGAAGAATCATCTGTTTTATATATTCTTAGCCTAACATTGATAAATGTGACAGATGCTAAACTTAACACATTCCATATGCTGCGATCTCCTGGCTGCTTACACTTATATGTCCTGTTACTTGTGAATATCGAGTAGTTCATATGCTAATTCCTTGCTTACTTCCTGCTAACCTTACGATGACTTTGTAACTGCAATTTTGCCCCTTCATGACCAACGTGGAAACTTGATATACAAATGGTTCTTGCAGCAGCAGCTATTGTTTCTGCTCTGCCTAAATTCGTATGGATGACGGTTATGTGCTGCAACAGTTCACTGTATATCAAAACCCTCCTCTTATGTCTTCTTGTCTTGATACGCGATTACTTTTTTCATGTAACCTACGTCCCTTGTTTCTCTCTTTTGGGTCGAGAATGATCCGTGTGGTGTGCAAACTTAACTATGTATCATGTTCATGGGGGTGTATAAATGAAGAGTTTGGGATGCAACATGAACTGTATCTTCTTTATTGTCTGGTTACAAGTTATCATTATTAAGAACTTTTATTCTGTGTACAACTACTGACAATACACTGTCTAAACAAGGCAACCTGAATGCCATGGCAACCTAACTAGTACCATTAATTTGTTCAGGTTCTATGCTTTATGTAAATAAGATTTAGCAATATGGCCATCAGCTCCTTTAGGATAGAAACCTCCAGGGACATGTTCATTACCACTCGCATATATAATTCTTAGTATCTCCTGTGGTGTCCTGCCGTATGCGAGTGAAAACTCGTCCCCAGCGAGAACATTGCCACTGATTTTTCCCTCAGCACCTCTGTATTTGGGAACCACAAGGCCTTCATCTTTCCAACCTCCATGTCCTAGCTTATTCCTTAGATTTGAAATGCGATTAGTGAACTCAGCCACTGTTATACCATATGGTTGCACCTTCTCCGGGGCACGTTCATATAGCAATGCTCGAATCACTGCATCTTGACCTGATTCCACTCCCAAAAGCCCTGCAACAAGCTGAACATAACCCACCCACATAAATTAAAAACGAGTAATGTTAGAGCTAGCTGTTATATATATATATCAAATCACCAAGCAATTTGAATTTGTCAATACTACTAATAATAAATGAAGTTCATAGCGAACCCAGATTTGATTCGATTCGAATAAACTAAACACTGCCAGATCATTTGATGAACGTGAACAAATAATCGGGTTATATTTTCAGTTTCTTGTTATTGTGTTTGAAGCTTACCGATTTGAAAACAGGACCTTGGAGCTTTGGGGCGGCTCCAACATACCCAGTGAGACCAACATAAGGAATCACATAGGATGCAAGGAGATAGTTGATTGAATTGGCATAAGGGTCAAAAGGGGGAACCAAGGGATGACCAAATGCAGAATCAAACACCTCGGCAAATGATTCTGCACTCAAATTCAACAATGGCCTTGGGAATCCCTTTACTGTACTTTTAATAGCTCTGCATAAAATAACATAATTACTACAAAGTTTGGTATGAGAAAAATAATATATAAAAAACCATTAAAACAAAAGAAAGAAAGAAAGAAGATTGAACCTCAAATGTCCAACTTCTTGCCATGCAAATTGGGTGATAACATCCCTAGTGAAGTGGTCCAAATGAGCTTTTTTAGCACCAATGGGAGATGGACCTCCCTGGGTTAAGCCTGGATTAACTTTATCCAAGCCATAGCCCAAAGAGCCATATAGAAAGAACTCAGCTTCCAAATACTCTAAATTCAGAGGAAATTCTAAAAGATCAACATCTGATTGTGTAGGTGAGTAGGAGCCAGGGTGATGGCTTGAAATAGATTCAGAAAAATAAGATTGTGGAAGGAGGATGAGGAAGAAGGCAACAATGGCGGTGGTGACATAAGCCAATTGTGCCATGTTTGTTTGTTTCTGCTGTGACTACTGGGGTGGTGTATGTCTTCTTCACTGAGGGCATTGCTTATTTATAGAGATGGCTTTTGCCTCGTAAACTCATGAGTTTCATGCCCATAAGGCCATTTACAGTCATAAGGCTAAATGTAGTCCAGGCTAGCCCTCCAAAATATTAATTTTTTAAAGAATAGTGTAGTGCTAAATTTTTTCATCTCTAGTCATGCATGGCTATATTTTAAGATTGTTTATATTTTATTATTTTGAAAAAAAACTATGGTACAACACTCATACATTTCACAATTATGTATTGTTTAATTTAATTAAACTACTATTTAGAGACAATATTCCATATATGACACGTATACGTTGATAACATTTAAAAAGGTTATTTAAAAAAAAAATTATCCTAATGGCTAGCTTGCCTTTAATATTGGCCGTTGGATATGCATTGGAACGAGATGTTTCGTGCACTTGCCCACACTTGACAATTTCTCTTCTTAAAAAGCACATGTATGGGGTCCACAAAAAAATTCCACCTAGGCCAAAATTGGGCTATAATTGGCTTAGTTGAAGGGCTAAAGGGCATCTGTCATTTTTTGAGTTTGTTTATAGAAATTAAATTGTATAAAGTTTATTTATATTATTAATGCTAAG